ATAAAACAGCAAAATCTCACTGGCACTCTCAACACGACACGCAAGGATGGCACAATTACACAGAAGACAAATACTTTGAGTGAGTAGAAATACTTTGCTTGAATATAAAATGTATTTTGCATTGTATAAATTCACTTTTCCACATCCTAAATGTATTTGTTAATTGTAAACATTGTTTTTAAATCCCAGGCCCTGAAGATGAACTCAATAAAAGATCGAAACGTTGGCACCGCATCTCACGATATCTGAATAACAATTTTTGTATTGATTTCTTCTGGCTGTAGAAGTGCATTAACCATCGTTACCATCTTTCTAAGTCTTACTGTACAGAATTGACAATTAAAATTCGTATCAAATTAAATGATATCAGAAATAAAGGTGAACAAATTATTTTCCTATGGTTAAGAGGTCACTGTTCATTGATAGGAAACGAGAAAGCCGATGAGCTGGCCAAAGCAGCTACAAAAAACTAAGAATAGAAAGAGAATATAAAATATCTCATTACGATGTGATCAATATTACAGAAAAATGTATGGTGTTTAGTAACCGTTAGTTAACGATTCTTTGAAGATCGTGAGATGCGGTCGGGTATGACGTAGGTTTAGAAGGTTATAAAAAAAGATCAATTGAAGCAGAATAGGTACAGATCTTCAAACACTGGACAGTGGTATAAATCTATCTTCCCTAAGGTCGGTTGCCAAATTTGGTTCACCAGAGAAAGGTAGCGGTTCATCACTATCGCAATAGGCAGGCTACCTTCAAACCATTGCATCTCTAAAGCATAATTACACATAATTCGATGGGAAGACAGTGACCTGTGTAAGTTATGCAACCAAGTTGAAAACCCTGAACATACGTACGGTACTGAAAAAAATTTGAGAAAGATCCATACGATAGATCAATGCAAAACTGCAAAGCCTTATAATTTCAAATTTTTAATATATAGAGAAAATTTCAGCGTTTATGGGGCTTAGGCCGATTTTGTAAGACGAACTAGTTGTAGTTTGTGACTGCTGTAAATGAGCAAAAAAAAAACAATTATTCACATGACTGAAGACAATAGATCAATGGAAAAACAACACTGTTGCATTTAAATTGAAATTGAAATTGAGTATTATTTCAATTTAGGTGTTCTTTTACTCGCGTTTTAATAAATAAATAACTATGTTGACTTACAGTTACAATATTATTATGCTGGTAAAATCTTCGTTAGATGGTGGTCATAGTCGCGGGTTATCCTCGTGACTGGACCGTGACGTAGGTAAGGCCAAACTCCTTGTTGGCCACTCAAGGGTATGGATACCTGTGGTGCTTAAGCATCTTATCATAGATAAGTTATGATTTAAGTGCTAAGATATAAAAGTCAGTACATGTTCTTTTAAGATAATCACATATATTAAGCCATTCAAGGCCTCCCTTGGACTGGTACCAAATTGGTACATGCTTCCAATAAATGCTACCACAACTACAGGATAGACCCACCACCAAGCACACTTTCTAAGGAGCAGCGAAGATTGAACTGTTCTTCGAGTCTTTTTCAGAGTATACATTTTTCAAGGCAAAGGAATGCTAAGGGGCTCTAGTCGGTGAAAAGGACTTTCATTTCTCTATAGTCCATGATTAGCGTCCCATTGAAAATATTATTCTCAATAGATAAATTTTGGGTATTTTGTAATAATAAGAAGGTCTTTCACTGTTATTAAGGTTTCAATCTCTCCCTTTTCTTAACAGTTGACTTTGAGATAGATAGTTACCAAATACCAGCGATTAATGTAACTAAATAAACAAAAGTGTAATACTACAAGATTAAATTTTAAATCGAAAAGAGAGAAAAGTTTCAAACCACCTGCCGGCTATTTATGAGCGGTAAATTTTCATAAACTTAATTTTAAGTTCACTAATTTCGTGGTCCGCTTGACCAATTAATATATTACAATTACTTAAGGTTTTTAGTTGAGATAAAAATTAAATTTTAAGGTAACTCCAAAGAAAAAATTCCAACGATGATAATTTAGGGAACATTTTGCTCAAGGAACATAGGACAACATGGAAATGTCTTTCAAAAACCAGATGAACATTTCACTATTTATGTTTTCATCATAAATCTCTGGTCCTATGGACGTATTATACTCTATTAATTCCCCCGTCAAGGGGAGAATAAAAGTCAAAAAGATTGATCCTCAGTACTATTATTAAAAAAATGACGTAAGTCCTTGATCGATTAAGATTATATAACATTCATATTTCATAAAAATAACTAAGCTTTTTAAGAATATCCTGCAAAAATCACGGGGTTGTATTTCATTTTTAAAAAAATGCTTGTGATACACTGTATACAAGAGAGAGTTAAAATAAGAATACTTACGTAAAATAAAAGCGGTTACAATTCATTTTTTGTTGATTACTTACTTTGTTTAGAATAAATGTAAAAAAGGACACCCGGTATATAGAAAAATTCATTATTCCAAAACCAGCATAAAAAAATCGTATTATATCATATTATAAAATTACAAATGGCACAATGTCATTTTATAAACAATTAATTGTTACAATTGTAGTATATGTATCGCGGAAGCAAGCTGGGCAATCATTAAGAAGTCATTGATGCCAATAACTCCGGTGGGTTCGATTTTTTTCTAGAAATATAGTTTATAATATCTACACGAAAATGTATTGTAAAAGGGCTATTTTTACTTACACTCAGGGCGACGAGCAGAGTTGTCAAGGAGCCAGAATGGGCCGCGGTTTGGATCCAATATGAAGAAATGGGAAAGATCACAGAAAGATTAATGACCGTCGGACACAGCGGCGAAGTGCTACTGTGGGACCCCGAGGGACAGAATCATAAAAGTAAAACGTAATTGATGGTCTTTTCGGCTATTTTAGTAAAATAATCGTCCTCGCAGAACTTGCTGAACTGGCTTATACGAGGACGCCTCACAAGGACGTCTATTGCACGCGACTTAACACCGGACAGGATGAAGCGGAACATAACTTTCTACGGAGACAGTACATTTGTCACACGATTGAACTTCACCCGACAGATCCAAGGACATATTATATTACAACGAATGAAGGATCCATACTCACGGTACAAATTTTTCTAATGAAACGTTAGTTAATGACCAAAAAGTTTCAAATATGGTGAGTACAATAAGTGAAACATTAATACAAATTTTTAAACTGTAGACGTAAAGCATAGATGACATAAATTTTTATTGAAATATACTCTAAATATAAGTGTGTGGCGTTTAGAGACCGTTAGTTAATGATTATTTGGAGATTTTTAGGATTTATACAATGATAGAATTTCATTTTTCTTATCCTATATGTATTTGAATAATTTAAACAATGTTTATAAATCCCAGGCCCTGAATATGATCTCAACAATGATCGAAACGTTAGCACGATAAAGAAGTCAGTATTACGAGCGGGATTCGAACCCACGACCTTCGGGTAATTACGCCGCTGCTCTACCACTTGAGCTGTTGTGACTTTGGAAAAAAGCAAAAAGGAGGGAAAATTCGAAAGGTTATAGGTTGAGATGGGAAGTTGGTGTCCGAGTGGATCGTAGTCACAATAGCTCAAGTGGTAGAGCAGCGGCGTATTTAGCTGAAGGCCGTGGGTTCGAATCCCGATTATGTGAATGACTTTTTTATCTCAACCAATAACTTACATAAAGATTAATTGTAGATTATATTAAAAGTAAGTAAAAGGCAAATGAGTTAACGTTTATATTGGTATCACTGGTACTTAACAACACTCAAGAGTGTAAATGGTTCAATTAAACTGCAGAAATAGGCTTAAAACTAACACAAACATTTATATTACTATGATTATTATTATGAAATAGTTTTTATAGGAAGGAAAAAGCAGATGAGCGCCGAAATGGATAACCAAAAATAAGCAAATAATTGGTTGGAGAAGAATAAATCAATTAACTCCAACACAATAATAAGATAATGCAAAATGGATTATATAAAATAAAAATAAAAAAAGATTTAAAATAATACTTAGACTTCTTGAAGAAAGTATAACCAGAGTGGGAAAACTTTGATTTTTAATGTTTACAAATATAATTAAGCAGCTTAAAAATCGTTCTATAGGAAAAGAGCGAGAGTGTGAAAGGGAAAAATTGAGATTGAGCGAATGAATATAGTTCAATATTCAATTTATGGCACTATTTAGGTCAATAGGGAAATTTATGTCGCGAAGACCTTCAGCGAAAAATAAGAGAGGCAGAAACTGAAAAAATACAGAGAGAGAAAGAGAGATAGGCAGGGAGAGAGAGAGAGAGTGAAATAGAGAGTGAGAGAAAGGGAAGAGAGTAAAAAAAGAGAAAAAGGGAGAGAGAAACAGAGAGAGAGAGAGAGAGAGAGAGAGAGAGAGAGTGTGAGAGAGAGAGACAGAGAGAGACAGAGAAAGGGAAGAGAGTAAAAAAAGAGAAAAAGGGAGAGAAGCGGATTAGGAGAGAAAAATGGAAAGTGAGGGAGTGAGAGAGAGAGGGAGAGTGGGAGAGAGAGAGAGAGAGAGAGAGAGAGAGAGAGAGTGAGAGTGAAATAGAGCATGAGAGAAAGGGAAGAGAGTAAAAAAAGAGAAAAAGGGAGAGAGAGAGAGAGAGAGAGAGAGAGAGAGAGAGAGAGAGAGAGAGAGAGAGAGAAAGGGAAGAGAGTAAAAAAAGGGACAAAAAGAGAGAAGCGGATTAGGAGAGAAAAAGGGAAAGTGAGGGAGTGAGAGAGAGGGAGAGTGGGAGAGAGCGTGAGTGGGAGAGAGGGAGAGTGGGAGAGAGAGAGAGAGAGAGAGAGAGAGAGAGAGAGAGAGTGAAATAGAGAGTGAGAGAAAGGGAAGAGAGAAAAAAAAGAGAAAAAGGGAGAGAGAAACATTGAGAGAGAGAGAGAGAGAGAGACAGAGAGACAGAGAAAGGGAAGAGAGTAAAAACAAGAGAAAAAGGGAGAGAGAGACAGAGAAAGGGAAGAGAGTAAAAAAAAGAAAGAGACAAAAAGAGAGAGGCGGATTAGGAGAGAAAAAGGGAAAGTGAGAGAGAGGTTGAGTTTGAGAGAGGGAGAGTGGGAGAGAGAGAGAGAGAGAGAAAGAGAGAGAGAGAGAGAGAGAAAGAGATCGATCGGTTACATTTTTCTTCTTTAAATCGTTATTTGTAAAAAAGGAATAACCTCGGCATAATTTCTGAATTCCTACGAAAAACTGACTCACACATTTATACAGAATTAATGCACTTATCGACATACATTGTCAAAATTAGAACTTTGAACTTATAATTAATAATATGAAATAAAAATTGTTAAATTCTTTAATTGACCTCAATTTTAAACGATCATAACATTTTAATAAATGTGAGAAAAAGTTGCTAATGACGTAATATTGATTTTTATCAGTGTAAAACGAGAGAAGTTCTGGGCGACATGGAAATCCTTCCAGCTCATTGCGGCCCGGTTTTGGGTATGAAGCATTCTCCGTTTACTTCTCTTGTGTTCCTGAGCCATGGGACGGACTTCACGACGAAAATCTGGGTGAAGGGGATCAACGAGCCAGTGATAACTCTTCGCACTACTTTGCTGGTAATCTCGACAGTAAATTAAAAGGAACAAAATATAATAAATGTTTTATTAGAGTGCCATATTATGCGCGCTTTGGTCCCCGAGCCATTCGAGTTGCCTGGTGATTCTCAGCAAAGAAGAATTTTCTCTATGGGATATAAGTAGAAGCATTCTTGATCCTATGAATAGAGAAGAACGAAGCGAAGAAGCGTATTTCACAACGGCGGCTTTTATTAAAAACGGGACGGTAAGAGACTTCGTAAAATATATTAAACAAAATTATACATTTATTTTTACAGTCTCTTCACGTTGGGATGTCGGATGGGACGGTGACAACATACCGACTGAACGATATGCCACATCCGCCATACCTTCAGGTTAGTTGTGAATAAAAATTTGATTTTTGGTGGGTTATAACATCGAGTTTTTTTTAACAATAGATCAACCATTTACACGGAGCCTTCACCAAGATGCTCAGCGAAAATAAAGCTCTTCTCAAACAAATTGATGATATCCTCGGTCAAGTCTCTAAAGATAATTAAATAAAATAACTAATTTTTCAAACGATGTAATGTTTTTTAAATAAAATAAGTTATTTATTATATAGTTATTTTTTGTACACTCAAATGTAATCTTGTTATTACTGGTCTGATAATTTATAGTAATAAGTAGTTTATAAGTTTTATTGATTTCATATAATTTCTGTAAAACGTGTGGAATTTAGTGACCGTTAATTAATGATTATTTGGAAATCGTGAGATGCGGTCTGATGTCGGTCAGAAAAACATTTTCTTTGCCGTGCCAACGTTTCGGTCTTTAATGAGATCATCTTCAGGGCCTGGGATTTATAAACATTGTTTAAATTAATATAACAGTCCTTGAAGACTTGTTGTTGTTTGTTTTGGATTTTCTTTTGTACTCAATTGTACGATGCCAGAAGTTAATAAAAAAGGAAAATTAATCAACTCATATACAAACATACGCTTTTAATAAAATGGGCCAATTATTTAAACTCTTATTCGTTTTGGGCCTTTTAAATTCAAATTTGCGGAAAAAATGGACTTTTGTGCTGGATCAGATATGGGAATTTTTTTCACCGATTGATGTCTCGATTTTTACCAGATTCAAGGAATTACAACCATTGTAAGGCTAAGTAAATCTTCTTTTATGTTATACCAACAAGATTTAGAAGATATGTCATTATATGCTGAACCGGCATATGGTCTCTTATTGGGTCTGTCTTCACTCGCGAATTGTTCAGTTATTCAAACGTGTTTCATCTTTGAGCTGTGAAAGCCCTCTTCTTTTCTTAGCATGTTAAACGTTAATTTTTCCGCCATGCTGCGTGTGACGATTGGGAGAACCGAGTATAAAGCTATAACAGTCTTTGAAGGCTTGTTGTTGTTTGGTTTGGTTTTCTTTTGCGCTAAATTGTAAGATGTCAGAAGTTAATAAAAAAAATTAATCAACTCTTTCACTCAAAATGCTATCTATGCACTCGAAAAATATTAACAAATGACATGCGTCAATTCGTGACGGCATACCTACCTTGTATATTAACGTCTAACAGCCTATAACTTTGTAGGATATCTATGAGAATATAAGGACAGGTAAGAAATTAACAAAAGAAATGTATTGGTCTGTTTTAATTAATGCGAATTTGAGAATAAAAATACGTGTAAACAAAAAACAGCTGTTAGATTCATGGCTGCCATGTTGGTTACCTACGCCCTAACGGATAGAAATGTGACTACATTTTCAACCTAACATCTAACATTGGCGCTGGCCTGTTAGATAGAGCAATATTAACTAGCAGATTCTAACAAGTTTACGCCATCATTCTTCTCGATCTAACAGGACCTAACAGACTTAACAGGGTTAACACAAAGATCGTGAATACGTCTTATGTAGAAATGTTTGATGTGTGGAATGTAATGATTGCTTTATATGCTGTATTATATGTTTTGTGTGGTATATATGTTATTGATATTGAATTTGATTAATAATATTATTAATTCTATTAATTATATCTGCGGCTGGGTTTACATGTGTCTGTTCTGTAATTGATGCTGTGTTGATCTCTGTTGATGTAAACCATTTCTAAAAAGTTACGTTTATGTTTGTTTTGTTCTGTGCGTAATATTTAAGGATTGTTGAAGTCGAAATTGTGTTTGTGTTCAAAATGGTAGGTAGCCAGTGCTGTAGGATTTTGCTTGGGTTTTTTGCAATCATAGATATGTTGCTTTACTCTCTTATCCAGATATTGGGTTGTAATACCGAAGTATGTTGCCGGTCAATTTATTCAATTGATTTTGTAAATTACGTCAGACATATTTGTTACTGGTGTGGGATCTTTAATTTTGGGAAAAAGAGTGAGAATTGTTTTATAGTTTTTAAAGGATGTTTTAAAGTTATCAGAAGAGAGAAATTTGTTTAATTTATGTGATAGGCCGTGAACGAATGGCATGGATATGTATGTCTGTAAAACACCAAAATGAAGTATATTCAAAAGGTGTTGTTTGGTGTTTTTATACAATTATAAGTTAGTTTTGTAAAAATTACTCCGCCGTTATAATTTTAAATTAAAATTTAATTCAAACAGGGTTTTCAGGATACGAAGAAGGCATTAAACTTTCCGGAATATCATGGCCTAATAAAAGACAAGTCCACGGCCCTTGTGTTGTTCTAGGTACGTGCTCGATGTTTAGAGAGGATATTTATTCCCTTTGATTGCCCAGAGGGATGTTTCCCCAACTTGGATAGTTTGATATGGAAGCGCGTTTACTGTGAAGGATGGGGGCTTTGCCTTTATTTGGTTTTGCGAGCCGACGATGAAACAACGCCGGTTATCGCTTCTAATGAACTGAAACGGTTTTTCACACGCAGATGTGCACATTTGTAACACAGGAATAACGAATGTGGGCGTAAAATATTTTTACCGTTCAGGAGAAACACTTTTTACGATGTTTAGACGATAATTCTACTTGAAGTGGAGGTCAGAAAAATAACGAAACTCCCATAGCAAAAAAAATAAACATCCTCAATTTTACATTGGACTAAAGATAAAAATCACTTATAATTATGTACATTTATATGTTAAATAAATGCTTTATTTAATTTGGTGAAACTACCATTTTTTGATAGAGTTTAGTTTTTTAGTAAATCCCTATCAACAGGAATTTTTCCTCATGTACTTAAAACTAGTTATAGAGTTCCGGTTTTTTAAAGTGGTTATAAAAGTAATATTTTTAATTATGGACCAATTTGCATACAGCCTGCTGTAGGCAAAGTTTTTGAAAGTATCATATTAAATAACTTAAACCCAATATTTAAAAATGTTATTAATCCATGTCAACATGGTTTCCATTCGCAAAGATCTACGTTAACAAACTTACTTATATTTCATGATTATAGGGCGTTTCTTTCAAAAAAGACATTCGATGGAAACCTCAAATAGCCCAATTGTCTAATTCAGGAAGGAAAATACAAGGTCTGATGAGATTCCTCGGTAATTATAATTGGGGATTGGGGAGGGAATAGACATTCTTTTAAAAATATTCAGCGTGTATTTAGGAGCAGTTTAGATATGGAGCAGCAAGTTACCCTTCAGCGCGAATATCGACTTTAAAACCGCTTTATAGGATTTATTTCCAAGGAATGAGGATGGCAACAGGGGCGTTTAGAACAAGCCGTTTAGGGATAAATGGTAGCGTCAGTGGGGACGGTCATCCGAGAGGCTCCTTCGTGTTAAGTGCACGACCTGCAGATGGCCCCCCGAGGATCTGAGCAGTAAAGAAGGAATAGTTCTTGCCAGATTAAGAATAGGCCATACTCGGTTGACACATGCTGGTGGGTCAATCCCCCCAGGTGTCCGTTATACAGAGAAAGGTTGCTCGATGTGTCCCATATAGTCAAAACGTGTCGTGCCTTGGCTCCCTTCAGGGCGCGAGTAGGCATGCCGCCAGATTTAAAGAGGGTTCTCGGACACAGCTTGTTTCACAACGAGTTTCAGGGACTTGTATTCCGCTTTTTAAGGGAATTGGGAATTTTTTGTTGTATATAGAAGTTAAGTTATGTGTTTTGTGTTTCTGTGTCTTGTATGAGTGAATGTATTTATTGGTTTGAATGGGGAGGGGCTGATGGCTAAGTAGCTTCTCCATCGCCTCTCAGGTTGTGTGTAAGACTTCGGCCTATAGCGGAAATTTTATAAAATACCCCATCGACCCCAATTTAGATTAGGTTATTGTAGTGAACAGGTAGATGGAGGAATATCGAGTACTCCATCTTCCAAACAGTATGTGTGATCAATGTATGTTGGTGTGAATGGAGATGGCCGATGGTAAATGAAGTAGCATCTCGATCGCCCCTCATGTTGCGTGAGTGACTTGGGTCTACGGCGGAAAACATTTAAAGTACCCCAACGACCACAAATTAGAATAGTCTATTGTAGGGAACAGGTAGATGGAGGAATATCCAGTACTCACTCCATCTACTATACAATATGAGTGCGATCAATGTAAATAGGTATGAATGTATTTATTGATGTGATCGTTTGTGTGTGTGTGTGTGTGTGTGTGCGTGTGTGTGCGTGCGCGTGCGTGTGCGTGTGTGTGTGTGTGTGTGTGTATCGAGTGTGTAGCGATATTTTGCTAGTGGTTCGGGGCTGAAATGGCCAAGCTGTTGGATTCCCCTGTCAAAAAAAAAAACCTTTATATAGTCTCTGCAATGATGACTGTGCCATTCCTCCGGATCTTTTCAGGGAGGAGGCAATTCTTAGGTTTGTTGCTAGGCTTTGGTCTAAGCCTTTCCATCCTCTATTTCCTTCAGTTTTCTGTAACCCTCACCAAGATATGTATTCGTTCCTAAGAACTAGGACGAGACCTTTGGGAATCCGCGATACTGAAATGTTGAAATTATGAGGGAATACCTTGCCGAGGGTCGAAGGTTTTAAATAACTAGATATTAGATAGATAGATGTAATAATTCAGGGTATGGTATACTGCGCCCTTTAAGAGCTATTGTATCCCCTGTGCTCTGCTTAAAGCACATCGGTGAGTCCTATTTCATCAAGAAACTTGATTAATAGGCCCGGTTTCAGTGGTTGTAGTTCTTTTATGGTCACATTGTACATCCCAAAACACTTCCTCCTGCGGGCTAGTGTAGCTCCGCAGTTTGTTAGTAAGTGTGTTGGTGTCTCTTCTGCTTCTTTGCAGAATCTACATGTGCCATTTTGGGTTATTCTAATTTTCTTTAAATGTCCATTTAATCTACAGTGTCCTGTCAGGAATCCTGTTAGGATTCGCAGTCTGTTCCTGCTATAACTAGATATTACACCGTTGTCATTATCTACTGCCACAATTGTCGAAGATCTGGCCTCATTGAACAAATACAATACTTCTCTGATGATTATAAAGTTTTTTTATGCCGATGGGTCCAAAAATTGGTGTAGGGTGTGGGATATTAACTGATGAGTACAATCTCAGCTGGTCTCTATCGAATGAGGCTATCATGTACACAGCTGAACTTCATGAATCAGAAGATC